CCATTCTTAGTTTACCTTCATCCATTCACTTTTTGTTTAGTTTTTTGTATCATCATGTTCCCCTAGGAGCATAAAGGCTAACTTCACCCTTGTCATTAAGAGACTGACCAGTGACATTTCAGTTTTTTAATTTGAGTTCTTCTATTTCTTCTTCTCTTTTTTTATCAATATTATTGATTTCTTATATTAGTTTTTTATTACTTTCTTGGAGTTCATTTATTGTGTTTACCATGATTTTCTTTTTTATTTATTTTGCTCTTTTAATATACTTCTATCCTTTTTATGAGGGCATATTAAGTATATAGATTATTTTAGTACTTTTTTACTTTAAAGGTGGAAAAGCTAACAATATTTGTCAAAAGATTAAACTTATTAGACTTAGTGATAGTAAGAGATAAATTAACAAGTGATGAAGTCATAGAGGTGATTTTATCCTAAATATTTTATTCATTGCCAGCATAAATTGATCTTGGACAAGTAATATCTTTGAATTCATCTTACTTTCACAAATGGGCAAATATTATGATAAAGATATCCTTGTCTTTTGTAGCCCAAAGGAGGTGGTGTTAACATTAAAATAGATAAAGCTCTAATTTCTTCAAAGATATCTGCTTTCTTGGTTTTCAATAAATTGAATTCAGCAAAAGGTCCATTAGTGACTTCTTGAACCTTCACTATACCAAGATTAGATGCTTCAAAAAGAAAATGTTGATATTTTTGTATACTTGGTAATTTCTTAAAATAAATTCCCAAAATAGCTTTAATATCTAAGTATTGAAAGCTTTTTCCATCTTCATAACATTGAGCTTTATTCAATCCAGCTGAACTAGACTTTTTTATCACTTCAACCACATGATCAAGACAATCTACTCTTGTTCTTCTGTAGAGTTTTTTAATCATGCCAAAACTACCATCGCATTTGAATTTGGTGTGCCCAGGAATCATGAAATTTAATTCAATACTTTCATAATAACCACAAATTACTAAATACAAATAAAACCAAATTGTTACATTATTTTTATTGTGTCCCCCAGCATTATCACAAGTAATCTTTAAATGCTTTTCACCTTTATTCAATTTCTTAATTCCATCAAAAATCATGCTAAGAGGGCCCTTTTCATATAATCTCATTTTCATTAAGAACATAATTAATTTGTGGGCAATATTATATACAGAACCTATGTGACAAATAAGGATTAATTCTTAGAGTTGTTAAACACTGTGTAATTCCTGCCACCCCAGCCCACAAATTTAATCATCACGTCCATGATAAATGCCACATTGGTTTTACAAAAATTTTGAGCTACAATTTTATAGAATGAATTGCTATTTTTGGTAGGGTTCTGTACATTCCATAAAAAGAACCTTTCTGTAAATAATCTTTTCCTTAATTTGTTCTCTTGTTGCCTCATCTTGGATACCAAATAAATGAACTTTACATGAACTAAGATAATAAATTTTACTTACTTGTTGATCTAAATGAGGCACATGAACATTTTGAGCTCAATCATAACT